CTCCTGGAGACTCCACTTTCTCTTCTCTAAGACAAGGGTCAGAGCAAGTGCCCCGCAGAAGCCTTGAGCTGGGCTGGGCTGTCCCTCTTCCCTGCCCTGGAGGCTGGCTGAGTGGGGGCCCCTGGCACGGGCATCCCAGGGCCGACTGCTGCTGCTGCTCTTTTCAGCGGTCTGGTTTGCCTGCCCCCACTGCAGGGTGTTCCCTGGGCCCCTGACAGCAGCACTGGGAAGGGTCCCTGCCTCCAAGATGGGGCAGCTGACACTGGGGGGAGCCGGAGGGTGGGTGGGGGCAGGTCTTCTGCCCAGCCCCTTGACCCCCGAAGCCCGCTCATTTTGAGCTGCTGAGGAGCAGCTTAGGAGGGTGTCATCCAAGGGCCACAGTCACCGGGAGCAACTGGGTCTTTTTTTTTTTTTTTAAATACTTTTATCGGGGGCTCTTACATCTCTTATCACAATCCATACATTCATCCGTTGTGTCAAGTACATTTGTACATACGTTGCCATCATCATTTTCAAAGTATTTTCTTTCTTCTTGAGCCCCTGATATCAGATTTGCCCCCTCCCTTCCCCACTCTCCCTCCCTCATGAACCATTGGTAAATTATACATTATCATTTTCTTACATCATCGTCCTCTGTCACCCTTCACCCACTTTTCTATTGTTCGTCCCCCGAGCAACGGGGTCTTAATGACTCCCAGCCCAGAACTCTGTCGCTGGGAGCTTTCTGGGAGGTAAGGTACGAGGGGGCTTCAAAAGGATCGTGGGAAAATGGGGTGCAAGGATAATGGAGTTCTTCTGGGAATTCCTTGACGCCCCCTTGTGGGTCCCCGTTTCCTTTCTTTTTATAGATTTTCACTCTTTACATTTCGACTCCTGTTTCCAAGGTCTTGTGTGTGTGTGTGTTGTGATGAACTCAGGCTAAATTGTAATAACTCAGGCTGCCCCTTCCACATCCCCACATCCGGGAGTGATAATTGCCTTTGTGATGAACCCCGGAACAATTTCCAAAGGTCAGAACCACCAGCAGATGGACCGGGATGAGTGGGAGGAATGAGCTCCCCAGCAAGGGAAATGCGCAAGAAAGAGCTCATCTATGGGGAGGTGGTGAAGGGGTCACGTCTGATTTGAAGAGAGGGCCTGGCTGGGTGGCCTCTGCCCGGTCAATATCCCACTCTGGCTGATCAGACCCTGTGGGCTGCCTCAGCTTTGTTGCTTTCACTGGTAGACGGGCAGAGGGATTGCTACTGCTCTGGGCAAGAGTTGGAAAGGGTGGCCCCTAGCTGCCTGGATCCCTTCACCCACGCCCACCTAGGCTAATGTCCACGTGGAGATTAGGGCTGGCAGAGGGGTGGCTGGGGTCCTTCTCCCCAGCTCTGAATTCAAGTCCTTTCATTCAGATTTGGGGAGACCCTGGTGATCTGGGGCAGCAGGGGCCCTCGACTAGTTGGGGAATGGTTAGACTAAAGGAAGGTGGCAGTTGGGCGTGTCAGGAAAGTGCAGAATGTCTCCTCACTCTGGTAGATAATGGGGAGCCATGGAAGGTTCCGGAACAGAGAAGGAAAACCATCCGCTTCAGGGGAACGTTCAGCGGGGAGACCTTCGAGGGAAGGCCAGCGCAGTCCTATGGAACCTGCTAGGGAACAGGAGGGCAGGCTTGAGAGACTGCATCCCATAGGAAGGGCAGGCCCTGGGGAGGAAGCAGGAAGCCTTGGGATGTGAGGAAGAGGGCACAGTCCTGAGTGGGCGTGGGGCCCAGAGGCTAGGCAGGCTGGGCAGGGAGGCCATGCTTTGGCTACTGATGGACTCAAGCCCCAGAGGTGTCATTGGCCGTCTGGGAGCCAGTCCAGGAAGCCAGCTTTGAAAGAGAAGGAAGCAAAGAGAGTGTCGGGTTGCTTTTGCCAACTTTCCCAAAGCTGGAAAGGGGCTGCAACAGAATATTAAACATTTTTTTTCATTCCCCACCTCTATTACCTATGAAAATGATCTTTAAAGGTAGAAGTGTAATGATTTTAAAATTTATATTGTGGTAAAAATATAGGCACCTCAGAGTTTGTGGGTCTGCTGCCGTCTAAACCCTGTGTCCTTGTGTGGAAGGTTCAGCAAAGATGCTTGGCCTATTGCTTTAGGAGTGGAGGTCTTCTTGGGGGGCCCTGCAGCCTTTTCCCTGCTGTCCAGCCTGGCAGTCTCAGGGAGTCTGCCACCAGGACCTGCAGGCTTGTGCTTGGTGTGGGACCAGCCCCAGCTTCCTGTACCTCTCAAGCCCAGCCATTCCCTCCCGGTTGCCAGTCACCAGGAGCTGCAGGCAGGAGTGATGAGAGCCAGGCACCTCACAGGCTCCTCTCCAGGTGCTCACAGCAACCCTTCAGGGCGAGGTGTTACTATGACAGTCCTGCGTTATAGCTGAGACAGCCAACCGGGCTCTGAGGGGTGAAAGGCCTGTCCCCTCTGCTATGGGCTGGGGTGAGGGTCCTCCAGGTTGCTGTGTGACCTGGGCAGACGGCAGTGCTCTGAGCCCCATGTGTGCATGAGGGATGGTGTGAGGGTCCCCTGCCCCTGGCGTCAGGTCTGCAGTCCCGATTACAAGGACCTTCCTGTTTCCTCCCCGCTGCTCGCATCCACCCCCACCCCCCACCCCCTAATTCTGTTCCACATCACCCAGCTCCCTTGGGAACAGCCAGGCCTGCCCCTCCCCCTCCCGGGCTGTGCTCCTGGCAGCAATGCCACCATGGCGCTGGTCCGGGGGTGGTCCCTGACACAGAGCAGGTTGGAGTGGGGGAACAGCCGGAGACCTCCGGGCCCCCACCTCGGGTCCCCTCGTGTTCCAGGCTGGGGTGGGCTGGCCCTTTGGAAAGGGGAGGCTTTCGGATTTCATCACTTTATTATCAATGTTTGTTTGTGCAACTCAGCCCCGAGATGCTTTTCCCTCCATCTGTCCCGCCATCTGCTCCCATCAGGACTTTCCAACCCCTTTGGGACCCAGAGCGAAGGGTGGGAGCCGAGCCTCTGTGGGGGCTGGGAAGGGTCCACCTCCACCTGCCTCACTAAGGGTCTTTCCAGAGGGAGTCTGGTCGTTTGAGCCACATGGAACTGGGTTCGAATTCCGACACTGCCACATGCGTGCTGAGACACCTCACTCAGCTGACTTCACCGCTCTGGGCTTCAGTCTCCACATCTGTACATTGGCGGCAACGTTTACAGAGGCCCAGGGTTCCTGAGGTTGTCTCTGAGAAGAAGTGCTTCTCTCTCCAGATGGGAGAGTTGGTCTGTCCCTTTTTCCTGTTGGAGGTAGGCAGTCTCACTCCTCAGGGGACTGGGGGCCTCCCTCCCTTGAGCCCTGCCTGGTTCTCCCATGAAACCTCCTCCTGTCACATCTTCACTTCTCCTCCAGGGTGCCCTCTAAGGGTGGGAGGAGCCATATAGCAGCAAGGAGGGAGCCCCACCCAACAGGCTTCCATAGGACCCCAGGGTCCTCCTGTGGTAATGCAGGTCCAGAATTTCAGGCCCAGGGTCAGTGAAGCAGCGAGCAAAGTCTTACTTGTTTTGCCAAAGGGGCTCTCAGCCAAACATCTGAGTAAGGACCAGCAAAGCCTCCAGCCACCTGTCTGGAAGGGAGGTGCTTCAAAGTGTCACAAGTGCGCAGGCCCCTCTGTCCCTCTCACAGAGCTGTCTCCAGAGCGCTGGTCTCAGGTCTGGTGTGGTGTGCAGGGTGGGGACCCAAGCCTCTCCCTGATGCTCAGGGGTCCTCCCAGTGCTTCTCAGGCTTCAGGGCAGGTAGAGCGTGCCCACTGGAAGTAGTAGTCAGCAGACCCTACCAGGGTCTAAGTTCTGCCCTCACCCCCTCCCTATTCTTCCTGGGTTCAAGGAAGATCAAAGGACAGTGGGGTGCCCCTGGCGGAAACCTAGCAGAGGACTCAGGCTGGGGGGTCCTCCCCAGAGGAACGGTGGGGAAGGGGAAAGGGAAGGGGACTCCTGAGAGGGCGTGCCTTTAACCTTGTGGTGAGGCTGGGATGGAAGTGAGGAAGGAGGCCGCTGGGGGTATCTGAAACCTTCAAGGATGATGAGAAAAGGGAGGGAAGGAGGGGCCTCCTCTCAGCCCCAAACCCAGCAGACACCCCCACCCCACTCCCCAGGCTGATGGGGAGGTGGGGGAGAGCATTCCAGCGGCCTGGGTGGGGGCTGAGCAGCCAGGCTCGCCCCGCCCCCAGGCCCTCGCGCACTAGGCAGCTGGGAACCGCCCCCGCCCGGTCTGGCGTCTCTCACGCCTCCGCGGGGGTCCCAGCACCCGAGCCAAGGCACAGAGAGGAGCCGGTGTTCCCGAGGCCCCAGCTGTCACCCCCTTAACTAGCACCCCCCGCCCCGCCGCAGCTCCCTCAATGAGACCTCTCTGCTTTTGCCTTGGCTGCAAGGACTAAGCCTGGACTTTGACCACATGGGGAGACTTGCTCTGTGAAACCACCCGGAGCTTTGCATTGAGGCTCATGGGGGGGGGGGGGGGGGGGGGCGGCGCTCTCCACCCCGCCAGAGTCTGTGCAGCGGCCACGGAAAGAACACTGGTCCGGAAGATGCCTTCAACCGCATGACAAATATGACCTGAAGCCAGCCTGCCACGCTGATGTGACCCCCTACTGCCATGCCGTCCCTCCCCCTTCTTTGTTGTCTGTTCTTGATATAGTGACCGCAGGACTGAGCTGTTGGCCTAGAAGTCAGACTCTTCTCAAAGCTTTTAAGGCTTCCCATGGCACACCTGGAAGAAAGCCTGAAGCCCTGGGCATGCTCCCCAAACTCTGCCTCCATCCTGATCCCTGCAATACTGGTCTCAACTTGTTATTTTTCCAACATCACTTTACTCAGTATCCTGTGAGACTGTACATTCTTGTCCACTTCTGCAACCCACAGGGCCGGCTGCAGACCAGACCGAGCTTAATAAAGAGCTGCGGAAGGAAGGAAGGAAGGAGCGCACAGGGATTGAGGCTAGCCCCCCCTCCCCCCCGCCCGCTCACCAGCCGCGAGACCGTGGGAAAACCCCTTCACCAGGAGCCTCAGTTTCCTCATCTGCAAAGTGGAGACAATCTGAAGAGGTGATGGGAGCCAAAATGCCAGCTCAGGATGTGGGGACTGCAGCGGAGACTGGGGAGGGGGCTGCCATGGCTACCGGGGGGCTGTAGGAGAGCTGCCCTGTCTGCCGAGGCCTGGGCTGCACACCCCTGGGCCCTCCGGGTGGGGATGATCCCCGCCCTCACATCTCGCCATCCTGCCCGGCAGAGCCGGAAAGGAAGAGGTTTCCTTGCTTGGGAGGGAGCGAGGAGGGTCAGTTCATACTGCTATTGGGGGAGGGGTGTGTGTATTCTGATCGGGCGTCCTGGGGCTGCGATCCGGAGCGGTGGGCAAGGGATGGGGCGGGGCTCTCTTAAGCGGAGGTGGGCCATAGAGGGCGTATCTGTCCCCCAGCCCCCAAAGAGCCCCACTCTCAGTTAATTCTGCAGTCGGGGCGCTAGCGGAGGCAGGGTGTCTAACCCGCAGCCGGGGCCCGGGTTCCGCCCTCAGAGCGGCGTGCAACTCCGTGCCCAGGTAGGGGCCTGGAGGAAAGGTGTGGAGCGACGGGAGAACAGGGTCTGTGTGACAGTGACCCCTCCTCCATTCAGGCTCCCCGGGGCTGGACGGGGATGGGTGGGTGCTCCTGCCTGGGTGGAGGGAGCGGGGCGAAGTGAGGGCGTCTCCTCCCCTTCGGGGCGGGGGTGGAGTCTGCCGCGCGCCCCCCAGGGCTGG